ATATAAACACTTATAGTTATGCTGTAAAAAGGATAATGAAAAGTAATTATGTTTCTGGTGAATGCGTTTTATTTGTAAGGAGATACCTGGATTCGCAGACTGCAAGCATGCCGCATGGTTTTTATAACTTCACAACCGCATGGCGAACACGTGGATTTATTTATTGATTTTGTATACGACTACCGCTATTGGCTAATGCTATAGCGCACGCGTAATAGTTGGTGCATAATTTATCATAATAACAGTGGAGACCTATCGGATTACACAAGGCGGTAATAATTCAAGATCAGATAAAGTAAAAAAATACCGACTTGGGGCAAGGCTATCAATAACCCAATACACATCATTTCTTAGGTATAACATGTACACGTGTCTCCAGGCCTATGACATTAATTTATCATTTTTAACTTCCAGATGAGAGAAAATACAACCACCCCCATCGAAGATACTCTTACAGTCACTTCTATTCCAGAGGATGATGATGCCCTATCTGTAGAAATACCTTACGGTAATAATCTAATCACTTTTCTGATATTTCCCAAAATATTTGTCAATGAAACGTGTGACGACAAAAAAGACAATGGGTGTTATGAAGCATGCACAAGCCAATGGTTAGTTATTTGGTCACGCAGCTTCGAATAACTAGACTGATGATATATCTGATTCATAAAACACATGCAAATATATACTTTGTGCTGATAATGTAGTCTCAGGGAGAATTGTGTAAAATATATCAACATTTCAATCACAATAATACTGTACCCAGGAGCAGCAAACCTGCAATTGAATGCGTAACAGGTTTATATGATACGGTAACTTAACATTCAAGAGTAGAGTAATTGATGCTTTATTATGCTTTATTTACTAACTGCATCAATTGTGCATGCCTATTACATGTGATAATAACAATAACAATACAAATCATATTTTACAGAGTCCCATAGGAAACTAGGCCAAACTAAGAGAAACGTCCCTGGAGAGATATATGGGACATGTACGTGAGTTTTATTCGTTCATTCAGAACAACTAATGTCTTTGAATCATAATTCTTTAATTTAATATTTTCAAAAATGATGATATTATACTAACTAGTATTTCGATGAGTTCTGTGGGGATTTTTCTTGGTTAGCTCCGCGGAAAATGTCACATTGATTTATTATTATTAATTTTTTGTTACAAGGTGCGCCAGAAGATGCTAAGAGGAGGCAAACAGAAAAAATTGACCAACAGGTGAGTGAATTTACGTTTTAAAAGAAGAACTTAAGGTCTAAATATGTATTCTGAAAACCTTCTAGCGTTGGAAAACGTTCACGCAGTATATAATAAGAATACTTGACTAAGCAAGCCGCATAATAATTTAGCTTATTTCGTATATTACAGCTATATTAACAAAATATGAATGTCCGGTAAATAGTGTAGCTGTTTTTATGTGTGATCATTCATATGTATATGGTAAGCCTTATTTCACATATGTAAAATGAACAATCATAAAATGCAATTTCATTTATTTATAGGCTACAAACAGCAGCGCGGAGCCACAGAGGAAAAGATACAGAGATGTATGTCCATATTTAGTTTACTCTGTTAATTTCCTTCAATTAATGATGATTAATGTTAAGATTTACACCAACAAATTATGTAGAATGATGAAAATGTATATAATGATCCTTGATATAAATAACAGAACACAAAATAATCTCGATGTTGTATATTGATTAAAGGTTAAATCTGAAATCATTAAGGATTAATTTCAAGGTTAAAATCACATTAACTATAACACTTTTAATGGAATATTTGAAAACACTTTCGAACGCGTGAAATCGCGTCCATAATTTAAGACTAGCCTACTAGAGATTGAAATATGCTGCGATCTATATAACTTTTAAAAATGATATTTTTTATAATAACTTAAGTTCATCAACTTAATAGTAAAATGTTTTATTATCGACGTTTCCCTAATCATCCAACTAGCTTTATCAAGATTACATTTAAAGTGGAAGTACACAGTTATATTATTTATGACGTAATAAATAATAAAACATTTTACTCTGAAATTGATGAACTTAAGTTAATATTTATATATCACCAGAGTGATAAATCTACACAGAAAATATATTTTTTATATTTATAGGTCATCTGTGCTAGGTGGCAGAGCGAAGTCTTTCTTGGAGTAAAGGAACGTGATACAGTATTTTATTGCAAGCAGGCACTTTCAACTATCAGTGATTTTAACAGTCTTATGAGGATAACAAAGAAAATGAGAGTAATTAATAGAGGGGATTTCGCCAAGATTGGTGAGGGAATACCCGATAATCATTATTTTGTCGTACAAGATAGATACCTCGATGCTCCAAAGAACAACTTGGTTATTCTTTTAAAAGAAAGTGAAGAACAAGTGTTATCATACCTCTCGTCTCTTGTAGCACAATTTTAATGTCTTTGAACCTCTCGCCAAATTTTAAATCCTGGCTACGTCCGTGGACTACATAAATCACAAATAAAATATTTGGCACCCTCTCACAATCAAAAATCTATGACTTAATAAAAATCTTTGCCAAAATTACTCACATAGTAGCAATGATGCGCCTAAACGGCCTAATGAAACAGTTACTTTACAATGTTCTTACCAGATAAAGAGTGAACTCGAAATAATTTACTCTTGATTTATGTAGTCATTTTTATAATACTTAATTTTTACACATTAAATACATTGTCTGAATTGATGTTTTCTGTAATTTTTGGCGAGGTACTTGCCTCGCCTGCCTCTTGCCTGGCTACATGCCAGTGTATATTTGGTGAGGTAGTTGCCTCGCTTGCCTTATGCCTGGCTATATCCCAATGTATATTTGGTGAGGTAGTTGCCTAATGTCTAGCCATACCCAAGAAAATATGTATTTGAAAATGGTTTATAAACAATTTGTAAATTCCAAGACATTTATAAACAGACGGTTTTGCTGTTTAACATAGAAATATTGTAACATTCTATATACACTGTGAGCTTGCCTCGTATAGAAATTTCTATACGAATAGTCATCGAGTATGCTATAGAAATTTCTATACAGGTTGACATTTCCCTAATATAGATATCTATATACATTGTTGACTTGCCTCGTATAGAAATTTCTATACGGACAGTTATCGGGTATGCTATAGAAATTTCTATACAGGCTGACATTTCCCTAATATAGATATCTCTACATACATTGTTGACTTGACTCGTATAGAAATTTCTATACGGACAGTTATCGGGTATGATAGAAATCCTAAAGTTACAGTGAATCACTCCCGTAGTAAAGATATTTCTTTATACATTGTCAGCTTGCCTCGTATAGAAATTTCTATACGAACATGTACAATTACTTTAGACATTTCTCTATATGTATACATTTCTAGACTTTAGAAATTTCTATACGAATGGGTAGCTTGTTTCGTATAGAAATTTCTATACGGACAATTTCCGATCAGCTATAGACATTTCTATACATGCAGCCATTTCTCTTAAATAGAAATTTCTATAACAGACACATCGACTTTTTGATATATTTTTAGCTTTTATTGGCAGCAATAACTCAAATATTAACACTGGTGTACAAATATAAAATAAATGTTGTTATGCAATTTACTAATTGTCTATCTGAAATAAAGGAAATCATTTCTAAAATTACAGTTTACAATGGTCTTTTTCTATTTTTTGACTGAAATAAAAGGAACAAATGGTTTTTTCCTTTATTAAATAGTCAGGACTTCATTTTAATATTAAATATTTACGCGGTACAAGGAAAATATTGACTTTTCTTGAAAGGTTGCTTGTTAATGATTCTAGTATTAGTATACGACTGTAGGAAGATGAATGGGGGGTGGAAATTGAAACGTCATTGAGCATAAAGTACTTCTATGACATCTCTATTCTGGCGACTCTCTCAGCAAGCATACTTTCTTACTTGCTCAAGGTCAAATGTCAAATGTAAAGTCAGATTTGAACTTCTGAGAATATGTAGATGATTTTGAAAAAAAAATTAAGTAAATTTGAAGCAAGTTGAAAAAAGACCTTTTTGACTTTGAAAAGGTCATTGAAGGTCAAATGTCAAATCTAAAGTCAGATTTGAACTTCTGAGAACATGTAGATGATTTTGAAAAAAATTTAGTCAATTTGAAGCAAGTTGAAAAAAGACCTTTTTGACCTTGAGAAGGTCATTGAAGGTCAAAGGTCAAATCTAAAGTCAGATTTGAACTTCTGAGAACTTGTAAAGTCAAATTTGAACTTCTGAAAAGATGTAGATGATTTTGAAAAAAAAATTTGGTCAATTTGAAGCAAATTGAAAACAGACCTTTTTGACCTTTTTTGACCTTGAGAAGGTCATTGAAGGTCAAATGTCAAATCTAAAGTCAGATTTGAATTTCTGAGAACATGTAGATGATTTTGAAAAAAAAATTTAGTCAATTTGAAGCAAGTTGAAAAAAGACCTTTTTGACCTTGAGAAGGTCATTGAAGGTCAAAGATCAAATCTAAAGTCAGATTTGAACTTCTGAGAACTTGTAAAGTCAAATTTGAACTTCTGAAAAGATGTAGATGATTTTGAAAAAAAAATTTGGTCAATTTGAAAACAGACCTTTTTGACCTTTTTTGACCTTGAGAAGGTCATTAAAGGTCAAATGTCAAATCTAAAGTCAGATTTGAATTTCTGAGAACATGTAGATGATTTTGAAAAAAAAAATTAGTCAATTTGAAGCAAGTTGAAAAAAGACCTTTTTGACCTTTTTTGACCTTGAAAAGGTCATTAAAGGTTAAATGTCAAATCTAAAGTCAGATTTGAATTTCTGAGAACATGTAGATGATTTTGAAAAAAAAAATTAGTCAATTTGAAGCAGTACAAGGTAGGTTTTTTATATTAATTTTGTGAAGTTTCGGCCGCCGTATGCCCGCCATAGAGCAAATATGACTGAGGCTTTAGCTTTATAGTACAAAATAATACAAAAAGATTCTCTATTTGTTCCAGTGGTAGGAAGTGACTATGACAGCGAGGAAGAAGGTGGACATAGACGCTCCACTCGTGCATCAACACGTAGATCTGCACGCAATCAGGCTAAAAAAGCCAAGAAAAAACGGGTTAAATACAGGGAGCCATCGGAATCTGATTTATCAGGATCTGAGACGGAACAAGATTCAACAAACTCTGACAATAGTGGACCAGTAAAACCAAAGAAAAAATCACGTAAATCTCGGGATGAATCTGATTGGTCCGATGCTAGTGATTCATCAAGGGATCGATCGAGAAGAAAATCAAGGAAAAAATCTCATAAAGTACAAACAGAATCTGAAAGTGACAGTGACAGTGAAAATGATCGCAAACTTAAGAAAAAACACAGGTATGAGGAGGATAGCGATTTTGAAGACCATTTAAGTGAGGTTGATGAGAGATATGCTCGTAAAATGAGAAAACGGAAATTGAAAAAGAAAAAGAAGAAAAAATATTACTCCGATTCAGATAGCAGTTCAAAACATAAATCGAAGAAAAAGAAAGTGGAATCAGAAACTGAGGAAAGTGACTCGAATGAAAAAAACAAAAAGAAAAGTAACGTTATTGAATCTGATTCGGAGAAAACTGAAGTTGAGGACAACGCTGGTGATGACGCCCCCTCAAAAGAAATAGTAGATGATTCCAAATTAGAAAAAAAAAATTTAGTCAATTTGAAGCAAGTTGAAAAAAGACCTTTTTGACCTTGAGAAGGTCATTGAAGGTCAAAGGTCAAATCTAAAGTCAGATTTGAACTTCTGAGAACTTGTAAAGTCAAATTTGAACTTCTGAAAAGATGTAGATGATTTTGAAAAAAAAAATTGGTCAATTTGAAGCAAGTTGAAAACAGACCTTTTTGACCTTTTTTGACCTTGAGAAGGTCATTAAAGGTCAAATGTCAAATCTAAAGTCAGATTTGAATTTCTGAGAACATGTAGATGATTTTGAAAAAAAAAATTAGTCAATTTGAAGCAAGTTGAAAAAAGACCTTTTTGACCTTTTTTGACCTTGAGAAGGTCATTAAAGGTTAAATGTCAAATCTAAAGTCAGATTTGAATTTCTGAGAACATGTAGATGATTTTGAAAAAAAAAATTAGTCAATTTGAAGCAAGTTGAAAAAAGACCTTTTTGACCTTTTTTGACCTTGATAAGGTCATTGAAGGTCAATTGTCAAATCTAAAGTCAAATCTAAAGTCATATTTGAATTTCTGAGAACATGTAGATGATTATTAAAAAAAATTTAGTCAATTTGAAGCAAGATGAAAAAATACCTTTTTGACCTTTTTGGACATTGAGAAGGTCATTGAAGGTCAAATGTCAAATCTAAAGTCAGATTTGAATTTCTGAGTACATGTAGATGATTTTGAAAAAAAATTAGTCAATTTGAAGCAAGTTGAAAAAAGACCTTTTTGACCTTTTTTGACCTTGAGAAGGTCATTGAAGGTCAAATGTCAAATCTAAAGTCAAATCTAAAGTCAGATATGAATTTCTGAGAACACGTAGATGATTTTGAAAAAAAAATTTAGTCAATTTGAAGCAAGTTGAAAACAGACCTTTTTGACCTTTTTTGACCTTGAGAAGGTCATTGAAGGTCAAATGTCCAATCTAAAGTTAGATTTGAAGGTCAAATGTCAAATCTAAAGTCAGATTTGAATTTCTGAGAACATGTAGATGATTTTGAAAAAAAAATTAGTCAATGTGAAGCAAGTTGAAAAAAGACCTTTTTGACCTTGAGAAGGTCATTGAAGGTCAAATGTCAAATCTAAAGTCAGATTTGAACTTCTGAGAACATGTAGATGATTTAGAAAAAAATTGAAGTCAATCTAAACAGTATTTGTTAAGTTATAGGAAGTTGTAAGAAATTGTTACAGACGCCGGACGCCGGACGCCAACCTCCAACCACCAACCACCAACCGCCAACCACCAACCGCCAACCACCAACCGCCGTCGCAAAAAAAAACGGAGACCATAACAATATGTCACCACTTTTGGTGGTGACATAAAAATGATGTAAGGTATGATCTCTGATTGATTATAAATTTCTAACCAGTTCCATCTATAGCATACAATGACATTTTTGTTCCCGTTCCATTTGCTCAGTTTGTAATACGACCATGGATCAATGAGTATCATGGCATTCCATGGAAAGGCTCCGGCCAATTTGAAGGTGTGTATCTACGATTGGTATATAGTGCGTATTAAGTGAGAAGTGTAAACACTAAACGCCACTTCAGGGCTTTCAATACCAACTTCACAAATCAATTTCATCATTGGCGGAGTAAATATTGTATTCCTGATATAGTTACTTTATTTTGGGTTTCATGTTATGATCCTTTAACACTGTATTGTATTCCTGATATAGTTACTTCATTTTGGGTTTTATGTTATGATCCTTTAACACTGTATTGTATTCCTGATATAGTTACTTCATTTTGGGTTTGATGTTATAATCCTTTAACACTGTATTGTATTCCTGATATAGTTACTTCATTTTGGGGTTTATGTTATGATCCTTTAACACTGTATTGTATTCCTGATATAGTTACTTCATTTTGGGTTTCATGTTATGATCCTTTAACACTGTATTGTATTCCTGATATAGTTACTTCATTTTGGGTTTCATGTTATGATCTTTTAACACTGTATTGTATTCCTGATATAGTTACTTCATTTTGGGTTTGATGTTATGATCCTTTAACACTGTATTGTATTCCTGATATAGTTACTTCATTTTGGGTTTCATGTTATGATCTTTTAACACTGTATTGTATTCCTGATATAGTTACTTCATTTTGGGTTTTATGTTATGATCCTTTAACACTGTATTGTATTCCTGATATAGTTACTTCATTTTGGGTTTTATGTTATGATCCTTTAACACTGTATTGTATTCCTGATATAGTTACTTCATTTTGGGTTTTATGTTATGATCCTTTAACACTGTATTGTATTCCTGATATAGTTACTTCATTTTGGGTTTTATGTTATGATCCTTTAACACTGCTTTGAATGAGTTAGATTTGAATTAAACCTGTAAGTTTTGAATGGATCGGAATATTTGAATTAAATCTAAATCACTCTACCTTGTAGATCTATTCATTGTTTTCCAGGTATTCCTATACAATTTATATTATTGATCATGATTACAATTTTATTTGCTTTATTCCTTTCAAGCGCCTATCAAGGTCACTATAGTTTTCGTCTCAAGACCAGGAGATTGATTCTTATCACCGTAGGCGGTTTTCATTCGTCGATAACACAAGATACATGCAATCTGATGATTCAATGATTTGATTCATTTCTTTTATGTCTAGCAAGACTAGATATATATCAGGAAATATCACATTTTCGGGCAGAGTTTGGCATTTTGATAGTACTTATATCGTGGGTGGAATTCTTGTTCTTGCATCATAAATTTCTTTAAACTAATACAAAACTTAACATTTCATTTTATAATTTCAAAAATGCTGCTGGTTATGTTTCTATCAAAGTATCGAGGAATTTAACACGAGTAGTATATGAAACATTTGTCAAACTAAATTGTACATGTGGATTTCGAATCTCATGTTAAATAGTAGACACCATTTTAATAAAATAAGCATAATGTTGCAATTTGCGGGCATACTTTGTAAAATGACAAAACTAGATTTTCAGAATATTTTCTTTATCCTTCACCCAATTTAAGATCTGGCAATGGTACCCCCCCCCCCCCCCATTTGTCCAACCCCTTAAATTCTGTATTCATGGTTTACGGTAAACAAAGCTATGTATGCCCTGGAATGAATAACCCATATTGATAAAAAGCATGTAGCATCCCAAAATAACCACATTTGCATTCGGTCAATAAAGCAATAGCAAATGTAGCCTATCTATGCAACTATTGTTTTATTCAGTTGTTCCCAAGAAACAAGATGCATCGCTGTTATAGATCCCAAGGACTGGAGACCTTCCCACTAATACAGGTTACCATTGCATAATAAACAGTATTTAGAGAAGATATTATTTATATTTTTTGTTTTAATCAAAATTGTGTATTTTGTCATACATACGCTCTCATACAATTTCGTTGATATCACATTTGGTCGTATGCGTTGATGGATTTACCAGGCCCAGGACTTTAACTGTATTTACGAGTGGTGAACTTTATTTGCTGGAGTGAAATTGTACTTGCCAAGACTAAACTGTATTTGCCATAATGATTGCTAAACTGTATTTGATGAACTGAAACTACAATTTGCCAATATTTAAATGAATGTGCCAATCCTTAATTGAATTAACTATAAACTGTATTTGCCAACACTAAACTTTATTTGTTGGAGTGAAACTGTATTTGCCATCGTTTTACTGTATTTGATAAACTGAAACTACAATTTGCCAATGAATACTTAAATGTATTTGCCAATCCTTAATTGAATTTACTGGAAACTGTATTTGCAAAGACTAAACTTTATTTACCAATGCTAAACTGTATTTGATAGACTAAAACTATAATTTGCCAGTTTTGATTGTGCTTTACGTAATTATCAATGCCAAACTATATTTATTAGAGCTAAATTACAAGGCCAGCTACAAATATATGAATAGAATACGACATAATGGGCATGGTTCAGTTCAAATGGTACACATTCCTTAATCCCTAGAATTTTCTCTTTGAGGAATTTCCCGTAGAAATCAAATGGGACAGTTCCAAGCAGATTTTGAGATAACAGGTAAGTAAATCTTTAATACACACCTTATTGGGTTATTTTAGTTTTTATCGCAACACAAAAAGATGTGTATCAAAAATGCTACTAAACTAAACCTTTACTAAAATGTTTAGTTCCTTGCGCATGCTCAATGTTCGTAACTTGCGCATGCGCATTGGTTGAATTGGTGCAAAAATGTCATGTGACTAAAGGGACTATTCATAATGGTAAGGGCCGATTAAATTTGTTTTCATTCTCAACCTTTTGATTTTACAGATAAAGTTAGCAATTTATCAATTAAATTTCAAAATACACATGTATTGAAAAGTAATTTACCTAATATTAGTTTCATTAATGAAATTAAAAGAAAACCATTTTTATCTACAGCGAGATAATGATCGTAATGGCTACTGACGATGCAATTTTCATTCACATTCAAAACTTTGAATTCCCGCTGCTACAAAGCAGTGAAGGTGAAAACGAGTTATTATATAAAAAACATGTATCTGAAAATCACAGATTCAACCTTATTAAGCATATATTTCAATCATAAACGGCTCACAAGTTCAGATTTTTCTTTCTAAAAATCGTCTGGCTTTAGCCAGGTGTGTTCAGTAATATAAAGTAAGGGTAGCTGGCAATTGGAGGTTACTGCTTTAGCCTTCAACTTTACAATTCCCAAGCCTGTGATCCCCTTCTTCTACATTTCCCTAAATTATAATTTTACACCTTCTCATACCAGCGATTCGCGAATATCCTGCCATGATATATGGATTAAGTTGGCCTCAGGAGGAAAATTAAACACGGTGTAGAATCTATTAAAATGTTTTGTGTGCCTTTGACATATACCTTTAAAAGGTTATGCGCTATTTGTCCATCTTTTGAATGGTAACAGTTTAATTTGAAAATATAGTACCCCACACAAGTTTTTGATAGTAAATTTGACCCGTGATTTGGACTCTCTAACATATACTATTTGTTATCAAATTTAGCAAATATAAACTAGAGCTTCCAGCATTGGACTTTTTTATTGAGCCATATGTTTAATAATGGTTAAATGGCAGTAGTTTCAAAATGCTACAGTGCCCAATGTTTGACCAAATTCCTACATTGTTTCAATGTTAAAACTCAGTAGTACATTTTAACATTTTCATGATTCAACCATGACAAAAGTATATTTTGTATATTTCAAAAATAAAACGTTGATGGACCTGTACTTATAGACAGGCTACTCATAGACTACTTCAAAAATACCATAGAGGCCTACTTTTGACGGAGTGTTATTGTTCAAATAAGATATTATTTTTGAGTAAATAAAATTGTTAAAATCAGCAATTCTTAATTTTGATTTTATTACGTCAAATTGGTTAAAACGCATTAATAACACCCTTGCTTCAGTTGCTTGCATTTTTATTGTTATTGAGTAAAATAAAAGCAAAAGATCAAATGTTGGAAATTGCCTCTAGTTTATGTGTGCTAAATGTAATTACAAAATAGTATTTAATAGGGGAGTTACCTCATGGGGCAATGAGGTGGGTGAAACAATTACAAAATAGTTGATAAAGTGTTGAAAGGGGACTTGAGTGAAGAAATAGTATGCACGGAAATATTTGAACAATAGAGTGTACAATCAACCAAAAGAGGCTACTAATCAATTAGTGAGATCAATGTACTTTAGTAAGAGAAAGCTCTTTGGGTTACTAGCTCCTTGTTATATTCCTTGTAATATGTAAACTAATGAAATAATTTTTATAAGGGCCCATTTTATTCACTTGAAACAAACAACAAATAAATTACTATAGTATTCAAACCACACAAACGAAGACTTTCTTTCGCTGATATAGGAGACATGAAACAATCAAAATGGCTAATCTTTATCACCGGAAACAAAGAAACCACACGAAGACTTTCTTTCACTGACATAGGAGACTTAAAACAATCCAAAGGGCTAATCTTTATCACTGGAAACAAAGAAACCACATGAAGACTTTCTTTCACTGACATAGGAGACTTAAAACAATCCAAAGGGCTAATCTTTATCATTGGAAACAAAGAAACCACATGAAGACTTTCTTTCACTGACATAGGAGACTTAAAACAATCCAAAGGGCTAATCTTTATCACCGGAAACAAAGAAACCACATGAAGACTTTCTTTCACTGACATAGGAGACTTAAAACAATCCAAAGGGCTAATCTTTATCACCGGAAACAAAGAAACCACACGAAGACTTTCTTTCACTGACATAGGAGACTTAAAACAATCCAAAGGGCTAATCTTTATCACCGGAAACAAAGAAACCACACGAAGACTTTCTTTCACTGACATAGGAGACTTAAAACAATCCAAAGGGCTAATCTTTATCACCGGAAACAAAGAAACCACACGAAGACTTTCTTTCACTGATATAGGAGATTTAAAACAAGTCAAGGAATATTTCACAATAGATAAAACAAATCAAATAGCCTTTTATTGGTTTTCACGAGGCTTTCTAAAATCGCTCAAAACATGTGTCCCACAAGACTCCTGCGTTATACCTCAATTTGGTGTCATTATAAGGGCCGTTGGGCATTACATGCTATTTACCACTCATTTGCAGAGAAGAGTGTAACCAGCTAATATAGATAAAGGATAACTGGCTCTATTTAGCAGCAACCGTTATTTTAATACGTACTCATCAGCAAATTGTAGAGGGGACTGTTACTATTCGATACAGATAAAGAGTATCTGACTCCACAATTATATTTTACACTCTTGAGTGTTATCAGATTATAATACAATGCGTGTTCATTAATCATTACTGACTGTCCTTCTGTATTATAGATAGATATAACAATGCTCTTATTACACACGCGTGACCTGCTTTCTGCTTAAGAACCGGGCGAAGGGGATTCTCATTCAGGAGACATACCTGAATGACTCTAACTTCCAGAGACAATTTGATATACTGATTGCTGCATTCCATTGCCTCCACACCAACAACATTCATCACATTGCCTCCTCACCAACAACATTCATTACATTGCCTCCACACCAACAACATTCATCACATTGCCTCCTCACCAACAACATTCATCACATTGCCTCCACACCAACAACATTCATCACATTGTCTCCACACCAACAACATTCATCACATTGCCTCCACACCAACAACAGTCATCACATTGCCTCCACACCGACAATATTCATCACATTGCCTCCACACCAACAACAGTCATCACATTGCCTCCACACCAACAACATTCATCACATTGCCTCCACACCAACAACATTCATCACATTGCCTCCACACCAACAACATTCATCACATTGCCTCCACACCAACAACATTCATCACATTGCCTCCACACCAACAACATTCATCACATTGCCTCCACACCAACAACATTCATCACGTTGCCTCCACACCAACAACATTCATCACATTGCCTCCCCACCAACAACAGTCATCACATTGCCTCCACACCAACAACATTCATCACATTGCCTCCACACCAACAACATTCATCACATTGCCTCCACACCAACAACATTCATCACATTGCCGCCTCACCAACAACATTAATCACATTGCCTCCATACCAACAACATTCATCACATTGCCTCCACACCAACAATATTCATCACATTGCCTCCACACCAACAATATTCATCACATTGCCTCCACACCAACAACATTCATCACATTGCCTCCACACCAACAACATTCATCACATTGCCTCCTCACCAACAACATTCATCACATTGCATCCCAACCAACAACATCCATCACATTGCCTCCACACCAACAACATTCATCACATTGCCTCCACACCAACAACATTCATCACATTGCCTCCACACCAACAACATTCATCACATTGCCTCCACACCAACAACATTCATCACATTGCCTCCACACCAACAACATTCATCACATTGCCTCCACACCAACAACATTCATCACATTGCCTCCACACCAACAACATTCATCACATTGCCTCCACACCAACAACATTCATCACATTGCCTCCACACCAACAACATTCATCACATTGCCTCCACACCAACAACATTCATCACATTGCCTCCACACCAACAACATTCATCACGTTGCCTCCACACCAACAACATTCATCACATTGCCTCCCCACCAACAACAGTCATCACATTGCCTCCACACCAACAACATTCATCACATTGCCTCCACACCAACAACATTCATCACATTGCCTCCACACCAACAACATTCATCACATTGCCTTCACACCAACAACATTCATCACATTGCCTTCACACCAACAACATTCATCACATTGCCTTCACACCAACAACATTCATCACATTGCCTCCACACCAACAACACTCATCACATTGCCTCCACACCAACAACATTCATCACATTGCCTTATAACATTCGGTGACGTTCATCACTGCCTTATCATCATGCCTCAACACAATCGCTGACACCATTGCTCCATCACAATGATTTTTACATTAGGCGGCATTCATCATTGCCTCATCAAACTGCCTCATCACCACCGACATTCATCATCGCCTCATCACATTGCCTCATCACATTGCCTCACTACCACCGACATTCAACATCACCTCGTCAAATTGTTTTATCATCGAAACATTCATCATTGCCTAATCACAATGTGCTCATATTAAATCGTGTAAATGGCACCCCCTATTCTATCTATGTACTAGCTATATTTCTAAATACAAAGTGAACTTATTGATTATGCAGGTCTTTACAAAAAGCTACACTGTCCCTAATGGCCTAGTCACATAGCCCGGCCGATGAGGTTACGATGAGCCAGCGATGCAATTTTCACCGAACTCGGCCGAACACCGGCCGGACACCGGCCGGACATCCGTGGCGTTTGTTGCTTAAAACCGCATCGGTGGTAGCTCGGTGAAATTTTAACTTCGGAGTAAAATTTCACCGGGCTCTCACCGAGCTCCCTCATCATGTCATCGCAGCCCCATCGTAACCACATCGGAAAACACGTCGGCCGGTGCATGGCCGAGTATCGGCCGGTGTCCCGTGCATCTGAGACAACCAGAGGACGAGGTTTTTTTAACGGACAGCGGCCGAGCTCCGACCGAGCTCCGGCCGATGTGGGACAGAGCATCGGCCGGTCACTGTTCAAAGCCCGTTAACAACCCGGCCGGCGATCGCACGGTGTCCTGTTACCTGCTCGGGTACCGGCCGTATTCCTTCCGATGTCAGGCCGACCTCCGGCCGGTAGTTGCTGCCACATCGGCAGAAAAAAACTACCATTTTGAGACAGACTCCGTACGGTCACCGGCCGGTGTTCGGTCGGTCGCCTGAAGATGTCCGGACGGAGTCCGTTCACGTCACCGAGCTCTGCTTCCGATGAGGAGAGCTCGGTGGCACCAAAAAAATCCACCGAGCTCTACCGATGCCGGACATCGGCCGGGCTATGTGACTAGGCCATTACACTCGCGAGGTTATTTTACGAACACACCAAATAACAAGATGTCCAAATTCAAACTAATTGAACAACTGTGAGTCCACCTACTTTTTTATTCCAAAACACTATCGAGATATAAAATCAGGATTATTGTCTAGTTTATCTATGAAATACATTTTAAAATGTTTCTCTTATCGCATATATTGTTTGTTGTATCTTTAAGTGTATATTATATTAATTACACCATAGAGATCTCGAATGCATATTATGTTAATAACACTATAGCATACCCCAATGTATTTCGACCCCCTCCACTGTGTACAGAGCTGTACTGTGTTTTGGTTTCAAATATGTACTGCATTACGTACATATTAAGTTATACTGTACAACGTAATTAATTACAATTACGTCACACATATTCGTTTCATTAGCTACATATTGATATGTATTTTAGATTATTTAATTGATGGACTAGTTAATAATATATAGAGCGCCAAACACAATCAATAATAAGTCCGATAGAAATATTATGTTATTTATAGAATCTATACGTTCAACAAGATCCCTTAGATCGCTAAATCTGAGCTAGAATTATAATATTAACAGATCTATATTATAGATATGATGCTAATCAATGGATCGTGTTTTGTGTTTCATACAACCATAATATGAGTGCTTTATGGGGAGATAAATACATGAATCGCGATATATTTATATATACATAGGCATGATTAATTCGATGCGTGATTAACATACTGGTGTATATGTCGTATCGGTAACACTTCCCCCGTCTTAACAAAAGTGTCAACCTCGGTATTGGTATGTGCCTTACAGTTGTATTTATACAATATGCCATTGAACAGCACTGCATCGATACAATGTGAATCTATAACGAGGTTATGTAATACTTACAGATAGATGTGTGGCTTTAATCTTAATCCCGAGATGATATTCAGGGTTTCTAGCTTATAATCACGTGTAATCCATTCTCTCTGATAGAGATCTATTTCACTAAAGGTAGTGTAGATATCCTTAAAATGCCAGCAAATGGTATAACGGTGTGAAACATTACTTTTATAGACAGAGATGCCGATATTGGAATTCTCATAGTCTAACAGTAATACGTTTGGTATAACATACACCAAGCCATCGATCTATACAGTCTAGTCTATCACAGATACCAATATATGACACGCCCTTTATTGGCTCTTGCCTAAGAAATAGGCTTTCACCCACTTGCATTGATTTTATCATCTTCAACTGGTACCTAAACTCGGTCGTGTAAATAAGCTAAGATTCATGAGTATATGCTGGCATATGAATGAGACAATACGCGGAAGATTAACACAAAATAATCGCACTTTTTGGAATCGTTAGAAAACGTCTTTTAGATCTTTTCACAATATGGTGGAGCAGTAATCGGTTGCTAAGGAACCAGGAATCGATCGGATGGAGCGACCATGACGGTTTCGTTATTCGATCGACTTGTTTTTTTCTTCAATAAAATATATTTTTACTAATCTTTCAACTCGGTGTGGGTCTTTCCAAGACATTCTACATCAACCTCATTCCATCGTGTTCCTGTCGATTAGGCGAACACTGGCTAATTGATTGTTTACAAGATGAATGGGACTTTTTCATTTGATTTTACGCTGACTAAAAGATATCTACGAATGATATGAATATCATGATCAGGGAGATGATTCGATCAAATCAAGTAGCAATGTTAAACAGAAAGTTAATTGTCAGAAACTATCCTGATTTCGAAATAATATCTTTTTTAAATGGAATACGAATTGTTCGCTATTCTGTATTTAATTTGGAGTTCGAACATCACTTTCGATTTCCACACTAAATAGCGAGGGTACTGTGGCGCAATATAAGTAATTATAAACTGCATACGAAACCATCTCTTACATAATATATATTAAATGAATATAAATATCAAACATAATTTGTTATTAAATACATGTAGTATATATAAAATGAAAATACATAAGTGCATATAATCAGACAATCAAGCAATCTCGAAAATCATGCTACAAAACAAAAAATAAACATACAAACAAGCAAATTTTAGAAACAAACTCGAAAAAAGAATAAGAATAAAACAAACAAACGAACAATCAAGAA